TGCTTGAAAATTTAGATCCAGTTTTATGAATCATATTCAGTTCTGTAACACATTTATCCCAATATATACATTTTCCAATTCATTTTCCTTAACAAACACATCTTTATGCTGTCATTTTTCATATGCTGCTTGCATGAAGTTTTCCATAAATATATTACTGTGTATGGATTTTGATCCAAAAACTGCATCATAAAATTAAGGGGCAACCAAAGAATAACTATGCACATTCCTGTATTAATTCCAAAATAATAACTATAGCACTTTGCAATAAATTTCTCCTTATTTAATACCTCATTTGAACATTAAGTGAAGTTCTTTCCCCCCAAAATGCAGAAGAGACCCTATGCCAAGAAAAAAAATATGCTTGAAAATATCAACATTCATAAATTAGGTATTTGATTTTTCCCCATTTTTAGGCAACTCTGAAGTGCTGGTATGTGCTGAAAATAAAATAATTATAAGTTGATTGATAATATATCAAAAAAATCTGACTATTACTAATTAACATTACTATTTATTGAACTGAGTTTATAACTAACAACAAGAAAAATAAAGAATAAAATATAAAAAATAACAGACTTATAACATAATAAAAAAAATTCTGTCATGATTAGGGTAAAGTTTTAAAGTATTAAATGACAGGACAGCAACATTTTTTATCATAATTTTATATAAGTCTGCTTCATGTTATAGTGACCTAGGAATAATGGGATTTCTACTACAAAATACCTGAAGAAAACAAGTTGAAGAAAACTAATTTATAAAAATAGAATCCTGCACATTCATTATTTGCCATAAGATGGAGCCATTGATCCAAAACAGCTATTTGATTTTTTTTTTTTAATTACATATATTTACCAATGCTTTCTGACACCTTTGGAAATCTATCAATGATCCTTTTTATTTATTATAATTCTGAAGTGTTTCAAAAAGTAGTATAAAACTTTTTCAATTATGGGTTAAATCTAAAACTAGTCAGATTCTAAGGAGACCTTTTCTAACACAACATCTCTGCAGAAAAATCTTTGTTCAGTTCTGGGTTGGAAACTTCTTGAAGTGAGAGGTTCTGGCTACAATGACTCACGTGTCTTCATCGCCATATTGTTGGGTTTCTGCAATGTACTAACATTGCAGAAGTTACAGTCAGTTTGTAATGCAGTAGTCAACGTTATGACTGCGCTCATCGCTGGGATAACTTTATACCTATTTCGTGGGCCCTGCTTACCATTGCTTACCAATACTGTAGGTTTTTGGATACAATTTAAGCTAATTAGATGGATGCTACTTTCAACTTATAAAAGTTCTGTATCTATTGGCACATCTGTAAGGAAGACAGATGCTATAAGACTGCCTTAAATCAACCTGTTTGAGGACATCCATCAGGAAGAGGCTGCTGGTGATGTCCTAAGCTAGTAAGGTCAGTGGGTGATAAGGCCATAAAAATTATTTTACATAGTGATATCATTCTCCCTAAGATACTAGAGTGGTCCACTTGTTGATGATCTTATAGAAATTGGTAAAAGCATCCCAGAGTGCCTTGAAACATTAACTATTCTATCATTTGTGTTTGATGCAGCATAATTGTCACTTATCTATTTCTATGTTTGTAATATGTCTATGTTAGCATGGATGTTATGCTTTTTGTTTGGTTGCTGTTATAAGTAACTGGGATTGTCTAAGGATTTTGGAGAGGATGTTGATGATGATGATGTATCAGTGCCCATCATAATAAATCCACATCCTAGTATCTAGATTTGAGATATGAAATTATTGATTACTACAAAACTGGTATAAATAAAAATGCTGGAGATTATGTATTTTTTTAGAAAAGAAAGCTAAAGTGGAAGGGAGCTCAAGCACATTACACCTTCAGGCTTAACTAAAAATCTACAAATGTGAAGTCCAGTTAGTAAAGTAGTAAGGCTGGTTTGTACGTGAATCGGTAACCCTGAATCCTTAACACTGGGTGAATGTATTAATTCCTAAGTATTTTTACCCCAACTAGAAATAGTTATAGTTATCATTAGTTGATATAGTTGAGTTATCATTAGAAATTTCAGTTGATGGTTCATGTACGGCTATGACATTCAGACATGCAACTGGTTGTTTTAAGTTAATCTTGTAACTAAATCTATTTTTACTATTCTTAATGGATGTTACAGGCCAACCACATAAAACATAGCAACTCTAATGTTAGATCTTCTTTTATTTGCTTTCATCCATTTCCTCCATAAGCTAGTTAAAATATGAAAGTGTCTTTACCATTTTACATGTGATAATAGATTTCAAAACAAATGTAAATCAAAAGAGGGATTAAATATTGCCTTCATACTTTGGATTTAAGGAAAGACATTAATAACACTTAAGTGAAATAAGGCCCTGTTCCACCAGTTTTTGATCCTATAACGTGCTATGAGATAATTGAATACACTATTTCATAAGCTAACTCTTTCACTCATATAAAAATGTCATTGGATATGATCTCAACAATCATATAATAAAGCTAAGTATGTCTTCTTCTTTTCCTCCATGTTGTATACACAGACTGATGCTTCTTCTCTGCAACTTCTGCAGATGCAAAACTTCAGCATATTGCAAATAGCCATTTTAAATTGGATATATATTTTAATAAGTGCCTATTCTATCTTTCTACCTATCTATCTACATCAATTCCCAACACTGCATCCCATTTTATAATATAGCTAATGTGGCTACATATCCAAAAAAATATATAGCAAAACACTAAAGGGGTATGCTTATGCTGTAATTTTATGGCATGAGTGTTCATTTCAAAATAAGGAATGGATATGGATGACATACCATCATGGCAGGAAGAACATTTTCCAGTAATTATTTTATATCGTGTTTGGGACAATATCACCTTACCAGTCTGCTAAATAGATCCTCCTCCAGTCTACTCTTTCTCCCCAGATGATCTTGTTTGTCTCTTAACGTAATAATTTTGGTGACATTCTAGCCTGCACAAGTTACAAGAAACTCTACCCCTTAAGTTTGTAAGATGAGATGAGACTATCACATCTGAAGCATAAAACAAAATCTGACTACAAATAGAAAAAGAGCTCATTGGGATAAAAAGATTCTTGCCTAGTTCGTTTCCTGCTGTGCTAATTTGAAGGGTTTAATGAAGACCTTACAAAAGTTTTGAGGACCTGCAAAACATTCCAATCAAAGCATTCTGTCACTATAGGTAGTCCTCAACTTATGACCATAATTGGAACTAGAAATTTCATCACTGAATAGTGAGGTTTTTAAGTGAGTCACATTTGATTCTACATTTTTTTGCTGTGGTCATTAAGTGAACCATGTAGTTGTTAAGTAAAGCTGGCTTCTGCCATTGCTTATTGGAAGCTCCCTGGGAAGATCACAAATGGTGATTATATCATGCAGGGACATAGCAACTCCTGTAAATACATGCTAGCTGGCAAGCACATGAACTATTATCATGTGATTGCAGCAATGCTGTGATTGTCATAACTGACAATGCGAGAGATCATCAGTCACTTTTTCAGTGCCATTCTAACTTCAAATTATCATTAAGCAAATGATCATAAGTTGAGGTGTGCTTGTATGTAGAATTGTTCAAATTTTCAAAACCTAGGATAGCATTGTATCTATATGAGCTGGCGGCAAACAGACTGAAACTTGAGACACATTTGGGAAGAGAATAGTTGCTTTCTGTTATGAGCAGAGAATCTCAAATGCACTATTTATCTACAACACATGAATATATTTATGGGGAGTAAATTACACTAGAGGGCAATATAACTGTAGAGTCAAAATGTGGACTAATATATAGAAAGAATCATAAATCACCTAGAAAAAGCAGCTGAACAATTAGGTATGGTCTACAAGTCATATCAATGAATCACTGTGTTGAGAAATAAAAAACCAAATGCTTCTTGATAAAAATTGAATGAGACAACTTTTCCCTCTCCGTATATAAAGATTGCTTAGAGAAGCTAGAAAAAAAAGTTATTCCTAACAGCTTTTATCCAAAGAATTATATTTCCTTTAACATATACATTTTTCTCAAACAGTTTGAGGACCATACCTGTGCTGGACCAGTATGGATCAGAACAATACTAATTTGCATATTGCCACAGAGCAAAACCTGCCCAGTACCCAAATATTAAATAACATTGGACCCCCACTATTGAAGGAAAATACAAAACCATGTCCAAAGAACACATCAATCTCCCAGGTATTCATAGTCCATAAACAGCTTATTGTAAGGTCTTTGCTATTTTATAAAAACAGGATATTATGAACCAGTCCCAATATGATTATATGTAATTTATGAGTTTCAGAGGAACAAAATTACTTCAGACAAATATGAAACAAACTTTTTCTTAAATTGTGTATTTTTGAGTATGTATGTGCATGATTTATGTGTGTATATATACTATATATATGTATACACACACAATCATGATACACACACACACACACACACATACACCCCAATTTTATTTAATTATTCCTGCACTAAACTCAAAATGACAGAATACAAAGAGATTCAAGTTCAAACTGTGTATACAAAGTCACTGAGAAGTCTAGTACAAAATGGTATAGACAAGATGCTTAAAAGAAATATACATTATATAAAACTCAAATTTATAAAATGCTGCTTTTCAGCAGAATTTTTCAGAAAAGAAAATTACTTCACAGGACCATTTTTAAGAAACAAAACAAGATATTCAACGAATACACAGAGTAAAAACAGGATCCATATTCATATTACAGAATGGAGACAAATAAATGTTAAAGAGGAGACCATTGCAAAGAAAGCTTGATGCTAGAAACGATAAGGTTTCTTTGCTTATGAAAGGGAGACACACACACATATATCATAAAAACAGAAATCAAATCAAACACGCAGAAGAACAATTTACAATAACAGATGGTAGACAAACACAGAAGGGAGAACATTTGGCATGTGGCATCACAGGAAGTCATTCACGATTGGCTAACGATGGTACCTGGCTCGGTTGCAGTTCAGTGGCTTGCCTGAGAGGAGGAACAGAGGGAGGAGGAACACCTGATGTGGAAGCAGATCTCCCTAATCTGCAGCTTGATTTCAGTTCTGGAAAGAAAATGAATGGATTAGAGAAGACTTCTACAGTTTCTTAAATTAAGAGACCAGTCTGAATAAATTGTAGCTCTGGGGCTTCATAGAACTTTTCAACCTTTTCATCATGGCTGCTGAAAATGAAGGCAATGTTTCCTGTCATTTCAAGTTGGAAAATCTGTAAAAATTCTAGCAGAAACTCTAAAATCAGTATCTCATGGGTGTGTTTCTCTCCCAACACTAACTTGAAGGAGAATATATCTTTTAATAGTGTCTTGATAACTATTTCATACATAAACAAAATATGTGTGGACTTGGTAGCTGTGAATATTTGATGAAAACAAAGGATTGGTTGACCCGAAAAAATTAGAAGTTTTTTTCTACCATAATTTCCATTGTCTATAAAGATTCCCAGTCATCCAGGTCATAGTTTTCTCAAAGGTGTTTTTTTCAAAATGCAACTGGGCTGTTTCTTGAGTAAGAAGACTTTCATCCAAAAAGCTGATGAAGCAAAATATTTTCTTTGCCTCAAAAAACAGTCCAGTTGCCTCTTGAGACATAATTTCCATTGTTTTCCTTCATTCCAATAGAATATGAAGTGGTCAACTTAGTACTTATCTCTTAATAGTTATAAATATGTGTAGATTTGGTAGCTGTGCATGCTTGCTGTTAGACCACCATCTTAGACCATTGTGTATTGCTGAGCATAAAAACAAAATCCTACAAATCCTTGCCTACCACATTTTTCTGAGTTGTTTTCTTCCATTTCAGTCTTTTCAGCTGGGCATGCACATCCTCCTTAAAGATTATTATGTCTATAATAACAAAATCCTTTCATCTGACTTCAAAGAAAGAAAGAAATGGTATTTGTTCCCTTTTACTTTCTAGGATGATATGTCTGTAAAAATGTCAAGTTCTCTCATTTTAGAAGTTTCCTGTGAACGCTCCACTCTCTTAATTTTTTGCTTCCAAAATACTGGAAAAATATTTATTAATTAATAATTTACAAGAAGATAGAGAACAAATGGAGATGTTTTATTTATACCAACTGCACTTTTCATTTGAGAGACTATTGCTGCTGTTCACATGATGAATGTTATTATATTTATCCTGCATGACCTGGGAGCCCCCAGATAAGTTCTACCATTGCTACTGTTGGCCAACACAGCTGGAAATAATCAGAGTGGGGAAGGCTGTAAAGTGTATTCATTACTATACAAAATTCAAAAATCTTACTTATATGTAACTAGGAATGAAATGCTGAAATTTGCATTCCAACACTGAAATTTGCATTCCAACAATCTTTCATATAATTTTTTTTTCTTCTGGTTTACTATTTCATTTTCAGGATATTTGGACATTTATTTTGTTGTGTTTTTGAGGTCATTTTGAGGCCAACTCAAGCCCTCTGCAACTTTTTGGCCTCCTATACTTCCTCCCTCTAGAGAAGCTCCCACACCTTTGATTTAATTGGTTTCCTAATAACTTGATTAGTTTACCAATTTACCAAAGTACTGTAGAATACTTGTAATCTAGGTCCTGCAGTGAATCTGTCTTATATGCTGGCCAGAAATTATAAACAAGATGTATTTTGTGAAAATTGGAATGTTGCTTATACTTAAAAAGGCAAGTGACTTGCTAAGAGCCTAATTTAAACCTATAGAAGCTTCAGAGTTCAAACTGTCATATTATATGTTGCCAGTTTCTGAAACTAAATAATAACATCTAGATCAAGGGTGGGCAGCTTGCAGCCCATGTGCCAGTTATAGCATCTAATGTCCTTTTTTGCAGACCTTGTAGCACTTTAGAGAAAGTTGGAGTGGTTAGTACCAAAGATATTAATTCTTTGGGAGAAGATGAATTATTGAAGAGATGAAGTAGCAGTCCTAATTCTTGGGGTTTAGAGTGGTGTGTTGGTGTAGCAGTTAAGGCATCAGGCTAGAAACTGGATGACTGTGTTTTCTTTGCTTGCCTTAGGCACAAAACCAGCTGGGCAAGACCCTCCCTCTGAGCCTTAGGAAGGAGGCAATTGCAAACCACTTCTAAAAAACCTTGCCAATAAAACCTATCCATGCAGTCTCCAGGGATCAGAATTTGGAAGGGGGAAAAAATAGTAAATACACATTTTCTTTAAACTCTTCACCATCACCACCATTCAAATGCATTTTCCTGTTTTTTCATGTTTCAGAAGTTAAAATCGATTTTACAAACCACAACAATCATGCCGTCACAATACTACAAATTATACATGCACATTTCCAACATGAATTTTTTAAAAAATGTAATATCACTCCTTTTCCTTCCAGAGACACATTATACTAATTCAGTTTGACATAGGAAACATCCCCACAGACACGAAACAGGTAGGTCCTTGCAGTTCAGATCACTAGGAAAATTCACAGAGTTGCAAATTTCATATTGCAATTATTTTAATTAATATTGCAAATAATATTTTGCAGGCAAAATTAGTTAATAGAATTTCCTTTTAATAAAAAAAAGAACCCTACAACATTTTTTTTTAAAGCTTAGGACCTAGTTTGTAAGATGTTCCAACGGGATCAAATCATAGTAGTGTTAATGATAGTAGTTATAGTAAAAATAACTGAGCAATGATGCAGGCAATCAAATAGACTACACTTTAGGAATATTTTCTTATCTGCCAAAATAAATGTGTAGCATTCTTAAAATAAATATTTACGTCATTATGCACTTATGCACTTATTTTGAAACTTTTTCTACACATTACAAACTTATTATCTCATTGAAGACCTTTTTATTTGAAGAAATGATTCTACTCATCTCCTAAGTACTGTATGTCAATGAAGGTAGGAAGGTTGGGGTTGCTCCTTCAATTTTCAGCTGACTCTTTTATCCAATATGTGGAACAGGTCAGACATGCCATTTTTATATGATGGGATATGAGGCCTTGGCTTTCTATATAGTAACACAGAAGTTAGAATCCATCCCAGTCGATATAAAGATGCAAAATTCTCCACAACTGCAATCAGAATTATTAATTTTTTGGAAATACTCCTTGCATATCATTTATATTTTATATATTTGATTCAGCAGCATTGAACAACATACATACTGGGATTATGTACATACACATTTTTGTAAACAGGGATAGTGAGGGTATAATCCTGTATATATTCATCTATTAAATATTTGGAAATGAATTAAAACCACATTTCAAAGAAGAAATGGGAAAGAGAGAAGAGCAGCCCTTTCCACAATTTTATCATAACATCTAAGTTTAAGAATCAGATAGAATGGGTCCTTTATTTTTTTTTCTGTTTTGCTAAATGATTTGGCAAGTATTGTATCTGAAATATTAAGTTATTAAAAACATTCAGACAGAGGCAACATAATATTTGAAATATTTGGAAATGAGATGCAGTGCATGCTTCCAGCAGCAGATGGCAATGCAAAATATCATCTCCTAGAAGCTATAGGCTTGTAGAAAATGTTCTTCAAAATATCCACCATTAAGCTCAGTAAAGAATTCCATTTTGTGATCCCCTTGTGGTCTTCATTGAAAAAGCAACAGCATATTCTTAAGAAGGTGGCATGTATTAAAAAAAATCACTGAAATCTGTTTCTTCTCTGAATTCGCTGGTGGAAGATGTCTTAAAACCATCAGAGAAAAAACATCCTTGCAACATTATTGAAGAGCTACAAAATAAAAAATGAACACAGCGGTCAAAGGCAGCAATAAATTTGCAGATTCAGTAGGGAATTAGTTTGCTCTCAGTGGTACAGTATTGTAGTATGTCACTTATAGTGAGAAAGACCGAAGTGGTCAACATCACATAGTAGCAACAGTGAATTCTACAACAGAAGGACAAAATCCAGAGCACAACTGTTCTTTAGGATGGATGAGGACTTAGAGGACAGAATGGCCTGTTGCTTTCAATTTTAATTGTAGTGGAAAAATGAAAACTACTATGAGTTTCCTTTATCTCACTGCGTGAAACCAGTCTCAGCTGAGTACCATTCAGTTGTTAGCTGGCTCCATTGCTGAGATCATTTTACTCATCCTTATAGCAAGCAAGGACAATTTTTATAAAGAAGTACTTGATTTGGCAAGTAAAAGAGAAGTCAACTACTATATTTTTTTTTTAAAAAAAATTGTCTCCAGATTGCTAATCTGCTTTTTATACTTCTAACCTTTAGGTCAAATTCCACATGAAGAAAACTGAAATGTAGGTAACATACATCCATAGGAAATATAGTGTTCTAGTTGCAAATAAAAATGGCACCAGTTAATATCCCAATGTGCTTTTTTTTCTTACAATTCTGCTGCAGCTGGATAGCTTGGGATCCAAGGAAAAGATACAGCAACTTTAACCATTGTCAGTGGGTGGTCTATTAGTACCTCCACGCACATATCATTTTCCCCTCCTTTAAATCTGAAGCAATGTAAACTTGATAATAGCATTAGTTTTGTTCTGCTCCTTCTGTTTCACAAAGCAGGATTGTAGAATTGGGTCTTGACTGGGTAATTTCAGTTCAATATCTGGGTTACCTTTGAGGTTGAGCTAGAAGTTGAAGCTGGTCCAAATTGTCATGGCTAGGTTGCTGCTAATTTGCTAAATTCAAAGTGCTGTAAAGACATACAATGTCATATTGTTTGTAAAGTGTGTACTCCCTTTTGTATCTGCCTAGCAACTAAAATCTACTGGGGATATCTTCCTGAGGCTTCTTTATATACTAGCAGTGTACTATCTAGCAACCTATAAGAGATTATTCTGGTTGTGAAATTCCCTCCTGCTCAGAAAATAGTTGACTAGTGCTGAGAATGTTAAGGTAATCTGTACACTGGACTTTTTGTTTAAGTGGAATTCCAACGTCCTAACTCTTAAACTGATCAACTTTTAAGCATTTCATTTTTTAGATATTTTTATTGCATTTGTAAATGTTCAGTAATATTTAGTTTATTGTAACTAATTTAAATTATTTCCCAACTGGGGATCTATTTTGTAACACTAAAGCAGATGAAAAATGTTAAAAAAAATCATTTTAATTTTTCCAAGATCTTCTCCACTAACAAAATGACAAAATGCATATGCACAGAATACATAGTTATAGTTAGTATTTCATACTTTTTAACCTAACCATAAGAAGACTTATTACAAAATAAACAGTTATCATGGTGTCAGAGGTGCTATTGTTGAGGAATATAATGGGTAAGTAATGTGCTATCTAAATCCATTTTAATGAAACTCATTTCATTTTGTTAATAATCTCAGTTCATTAATAGACTATTTTTTTTCTTTCATAGATTTGGATTCTAGCCAGTTTTGGGAAGGAAGGAAGGAAGGAAGGAAGGAAGGAAGGAAGGAAGGAAGGAAGGAAGGAAGGAAGGAAGGAAGGAAAGATGGAGTATATGTGCACATACATTTGTTCACATTAGCAAGTGAAACTATTTTATGTGGGTGTTTGCTTTCATTCAAGTCTAGCACTACCAGTCCAGACATAAGTGTAGTTCAAGCCATCATATACCTCAACATACTAAGTCTTCAGTCTATTAACTAGTAGGCCAATAACAACATATTTGGAAAGTGCAATTGCTTTTTAAAATTTAGGGCAACACACATTCACTCTTTATTCCAATTTTTAATATTAATGAGTTGGCTGAGTAGTGATAGTGACTGATTCAATTTTATTGAACAATAGACCATTTCTTGCTCTCCTGAAGATATTTCAGATTTCAAATCTCATTTCACTCAGCCAATATGACCAGTGGCAAAGGTAATAGATTATTATATCATATATCATATATATTACATTGTAATATAATACGAGAGAGATAATCATATAGCTAAATAATAAGATACCACAATGCAAAACCTTCGGAATGCATTCAGTCTTTAAGATGAAGCATTCCGGCCACTAGAGAAGAGGATAAGGAAGGAAGAAAATTATGGAGATGGCCCTGAGAGGTGAGTTCAGAAATCATTATATGTACAAAAAAGATGGAGGCATTTCAGTTTTTTTTTAAAAAAACCATATTAGAAAATCATAGTAAAATCATATCTTAAAAAATCATAGTAGTAGTAGATGAATTGATCATCAGTTAAAATAATAGTGCAATACTATAACCTGTACTTGTGCAATACTACTTATAAAACTAATCAAAATTTCACAAGTGTATACAAGAATGCATACATAAAAAATATCTTATAGGAAATTAAAAAATGAGAAGAACTAAAATAGAATGCAATTAGACAAGTATTTCCATGTTCTTATTTGGCATATAATTTTGGCCAAAGAAAGATAATTATCACCTGATTACAGTTAGTTGAGGTACCCTCCATGTTGAAGCAATCTTGATTTTGGAGAACTGCACAAAACTTTTCACTAAAAATCCATAGCTCTATTTGTTTATTGTACTGCTGTGCTGATGGGTCTAACTATACCTACCTGAATTATTATTTCCTGCCAACATGGTTGGACTAACAGAAGACCTTCCAAGTCGGCTAGACACAAGTGATGGTCCTGGTGTTCCATCCCATTCCTGAGCTTTTATTGGCTCTCTGGAAGATGACCCATGATGACCTCCTTTTTCTTTGTTTTCCAGCTTTGGTAATGGTTCAGTACTGTGACTTCTGATCTTTAGTTCCTCTAATGGTTCTGCAAAATATGCAAAGTTCATAATCCATTATAAAGTATAAATTAATTGCATCCATACACCAATTTTTCCCAGGTCAATATGCTACTGCCTGAGCTCTACTGTAAATGTACTATACAAAAGACCATAATAAGCAAAAATGTAAACAAATTAATCAAGAATTATAGATGCTTCATACTACTTGTGACTTATTTGGATGGAAAGACTGCAGGTAAAGTTAGAAATCTATTTATTTATTTTATTTATTTTGTATCCTACCTTTATTATTTTTTTTACAAATAATATAAGGTATGTTCAAATATTTCATGAAATCATCTTGTAAGTATAACTCTTATGTATATTTTCTCATTGATATATAAAATTCAAGCTGAGGTCAATTCTGGATAGTATTTCCATGCCACCTGCTGTGAATATCTTCAGAATAATTTTTATTACAGAAGATGTTTACTCTAAGTGAAGCACAATAAATATTAATTAAATTGTATTAAGCTTATCTCAAAAACCACAAGATGTCTCACCAGTGGAAGACTGAGTTATGAAAAGAATCAAATGTTGGAGAAATGGGACTATGAAGAAAATTCTACAGTGATCAGGTTTCCAAATTTCTACTGATACACTGTTGGAAACAGACTCTCCTTTTTATGCCTTCTATTCACACTGACAGTAAGGATGAAACAGCATGTAGTTCAGATGCAACTTTGACTAAACATAACCACCAAAATAAAAGAACTGAAATGTTGCTGACTTAGTTGAGATTATACTTAGATTAATAATTTTAAATTGTGATCTAACAGCCTCAAATATTCTTTACCTCTATTTCCCTTATAGACTGATGCAATGAAAGAAAGAAATCTTTACAGGTATCTCATCCCATGAATAACTACTTTGCTTGCACCCTCTCCTATATTTATCTATAAAATAAATAAGTACATTGTTTATACTGCAAAATAAAATCCAATATTGTTGGACATTCTTCTCATGTTTGGAAGATCTAGTAACAATGATTGATGAATCCTGATTTTATAGAAATTTTACCATTGCTTCCTATAAATCAAAGGAAGATAACTATGTTCTTAAGCCACAGCCTTATGAAAAAAATTAAAAACATTCAATGTGGAAAAAACACTTTAGATAAATGGAGTAGCACCATTATATAATTCAAAGCTCATCAGGATGAAGAACTAATACCAGTTATAGGTAAAAGTCGGGTTTTTTTTTCTCATAGAACACCCAGAACGGAGTTCCGGCACCTTTTTTGGATGGAACCTTGTAGGGTAGGCAAGGTCGGTTGTATGATGTGTGAGTTCCGGCACCTTTTTTTTTTTTTTTTTTTAGAAAAAAAGCACTGGGTAAAAGGGATGAGGAGATACAAGAAAGTATGGCTCAGATTGGAAGCTGGGATGCTCAGGATTCAATAAAGATGTATTTATATAAAATCTGTGATACCTGGATTAAGAATGATATATTCAATGATTCTGTTCCAAACTATACTAGCTACAAATTCAGAACACTGGCATTGTTTCTCTCCAACTCTTTGGATAAAATACTGCAAATAATATTAACAGTATTAATCAATTCTGTTCATTTAAGTCATTGCTGTGCAGACATGCAGTTTGCCACCAACAGCACATTTAATATATTTTCATGATAAAATTCCCTCCTTGGTTTATTTAAAAACTAATGAAGCTATAAGGAAAAAAGCAGCCTGAATGGATCTGTAGTCCACCAAAGTTTTTTTTAACCTACATAATATTGTGCAAAATAGTGTACAAAATATTGTGCAACAAAATTGTGCAAAAACATAGCTTTAAAATCACCAATCTGTTTCTAAAACTTAGAAAAAACCTGAGGGGGACATAAAACGGGGGAAATCATTTAGAGAATATTGTTGTCTGTATGCATAGTGATGAATTTGTTTCTTGATTTAATATTCTTTGATAAATGTGAAAAGATAATTTATTGTGCCCAAAGTTTGATATCTCTTGCTTCATCTGAATCCATATTTGTGATTTTTCTCCTGTGGCCCTATTGTTTTTAGTTTTACAAATTAAGTTTGATAATGTTTAACTGAGATGGAGCAGAAAGCAATTAATAACAGAGTACATCCATCCACATTCAGGACTTATCTCCCTATAGTTTTTCATATTCATCAGTTCTACTCCAGAACTAGAATAACTAAAGTTATTTGAGAATACTTGTTCATGAAACACAAATTAATATTTCAATTTCCATCCATGACAATGCATCCATGTGCTACATAATTTTTACAAATTCCAATGAAAGAAAAAAAACTGAAATAGAAAAAGATGAAATAAAAGTAAATGAAATGAAGAGCGCATCTCGATTGACTGTTAAAACTCAGAAATGGGACATTTTACTTTCACTTGGCTATAATGAATGAAAGCCTTTGAAGTTTGTGCAAAGTAGAAATTCCATAGTGTGGTTCCATCGGGCATCACTGTCTTCCCAAGATGTTGCTGCTGCTGTTGTTGTGGCTCCTTTTGTTATGGAATTCTGTATCTGGAGAATTATACGATCTCTCTCATTTCCAGCAGTCTATTCAGCAGGGAAAACAAGTCTGCAAGGATGTACATCTTGAGAGTTGGATTTTCTTTTCTAATGCAGTTTTTTTTTTTAGATTTTTCCCCTTTTTGTCTTATTTTATTATATGCATCCCAGATTTTACCTATTAGGGCAGGTTATGAAAATTGCAAACCAATATACAAACAAGCAAAGTTTAGTATAAAACTAGATCTATGCCTAAACCAGTTTTCATAATTATAAGTCCTTATTTATGGGCAAAGAAAAGGAGAATAAAAACACATCCACATTTTTTTCTTGGTAGACACAATACTAATGTAGATTTACTTCCCCCCACTTTTTTATCGCTAAATGGTAACAGTGTTGAAAACCTGATTTCCCCATTTCTAAGGGAAAATTGTGATTCAACACAAAAGGAAAAGAGAAAAATGAAGACCATTTAGAGAAAGTTCTACAAAACAGGCTTATTTTTTGACCCAAGTAGAATAGAAAAGTTAAAATATCAGGCTTTTTTTTTTTTTTTTTTGGCAAAATGTCTCTTAGTGAATTATGACTTAACTCTGCACAATAACAGCAGGCAGATACATCAGAGCTGTGGGAATGCTTTATCGAAAATTCTTATTTTCAAATGAATATACTCTACCTGATTGATCTGGCACAAGCTTTCCAAGAAGTTATTAACTGATATAATTTTATTGTTATAATTCTGAGTGACAAACTGCAGAACAGGTTTTTAGCAAGCAAACAAGGTGTAATTGAAGTATCTCTAAATGAGGACAATTCTCAGCTAGTCTTCTCTAAATAATCCACAATGCATCAGATAACAGCCCTTGTATTATTCATTCATCTTTCCCTGCTATCTGTTATAAATCCATATATATTAACACTCATTTTAGCAGAAAGCAGTATTTGATGTGAAATTATATGAAGGCCACTGTTGTAACTAGCTGTACTTCCAAGCAATGCTGCTTCACAACAATGTCAGCCTGTTCGAGGGTTCATCCTATCAGGGTGACTAATTGTTTATCTTTACAAATTATAAAAAACTAATAAACCACCCTCCCCCCCAACATGAACTATTAACTGAATGGTTCCTGAGCATTCTCATGGCAGTGAATTCATACAAGCAATTATTAAATGGCACATCACTGAATTTCTTAGATCATCTAAGCTGTTTCTGGGTCAATATCATGATTTTGTCCTGTTTGCAAGTCTGTCTTTCTGTTACTTATATAGTAATGTATTTGTAATTGTTCTCAGATATCACTAAGCTTTTTCTCCAGCTATCCTGACTTTTTTGTGATTTTCTTCTAAAAGAATGATATTGTTAGCAATTGTGCTTCTGGAAACCCCTTTTAAGGATTTCAACAGCTTTTAAACTTATTTTTCAAATAACTTGTCCAGCTGTGAGATCCTTCTTATTGCTCGAGGAATTGAAAAAAACACTTTTTTGTTCTTTGATGGTCAATTTTAAATTTCCTTATAAAATGAACTCCTTGTATAGTCACTTTGCCTTATTGTCCTTGTTACTTCCACTTCCTCAACTAAGCTTTAGCCACTGATTGTATCAAATATACCCACTGTATCAAATATACTCAAGTATAGCTGATTTCCTTGTGTCTTCTGTCTTTTGAAGGAGAAAGGAGAGCAAGGAGAGTCAGGAATTTCCTGGAAGGATAATCTATGCAGATCATTTTTCCAAAACAAATGTCAGGGTAAAGTCTTTCACTGCTACAATTTCATTTCTTTGTAAGGTCTGCATTATCCACATTTTCTCCTTGGTTAGGCAAGTAAGAATAGACATCAACAACACTACTGCTTTTATTTGTTCCTTTACTTATTATATCCCAGATATTCTCAACAGCAATGCAAGTATAGACATTTGGATTTCTGGATAGTAATCTGGTGTACCTGCTTTGAGTATTAATTAAAAGTTAGAATGAAAATTTGCCATTTCTGTTCCAAAAGCCAGGCACTAAACAGGATGGAGTGCAAAACAAGCCTCCAGCTGCTTCCTACTATGCTTTCCTGCTACCTAGGTATTTTATATATGGCACCCAATCTTTAAGTGGATTCTTAAATTTTCCCACTTCCTATTCCCTGCCAGGTGCTATGCCACCTCCTCTTCTCTGTTTATATACTAAACCAGCTGTGGCTGCTACTAACTCCATCTTATCAGTCCACCATTATTTATATCAAGTAGCATACAGCTCCTCCTCAAAGAACTTAAGTGTACTTAACTTAGATTGCCATTTTCTTATATCTACAATACATTATAAATGACCATTGTAATGGAATAACAAGAAAAGCTCTTTCATATATAATGCAGTTTGATTATAATGTTGAGGAACTTTTGAATTCATTAGCGACTTGGCAAAGATCTACATAGCAGCTGCAAATCAAATTTGCAATTCAATAACACCCAGATGCATACATATTTAAGGAAAAATGCTGCTCTATA